ACCCACCTTGTCCGCGCACTACGGGAGCCCCTTGAGGAAGCCCCTCCTAGGCACCGACGCTGGCGGCCCGTCTGCGAGCGGCAACTCGCGGGCCCGTGGCATCGCCGACTCAGCGCCCGCAGCTCGGGCACGTTGGTGAGGATCCGCGTCGGCGTTCCCCGCTCGGCCCCGCGCATGCAGAAGTCCAGGCACGCCAGGTGGAGGCACGGTGGAGGCCCTCGCGACGCGCGATGTCCACCATGGGCGGGAACAGCCAGCACTGATACGAGGCAGGGTTCTCCAGGCTGAAGGCCGCCCCCCGCTTGATGCACTCGAGCACCGCATCCACCGCGATCATCGTGACGTAGGTTCCGTCGTCGACCAGCTCCTGATCCTCCTCGCTGAGCCGCGAGACACCCCAAACTTCTCGGGCCGCCCGCAGCCTCGGCACCCGCGCCCGCGCCCAGGCGGCGCAGGGCGGAGCAGAGTGGACGAGCCAGTGCACGCCGAGGGCCAGGTCGCGCAAGAGCCTCCCCAAGTCGTAGCCAGGCCCCTGGCCCACCTCCCAAGGCTCTACCCAGCGCAGACGGGCCCTCCCCATAGCGCCCGAAAGCTTCGCCGTCCCCGCGAAGAGCTCGCAGCAGCCGGCGGCCGCCCGTCTCCCTCGGCTCGCCTCCTGCTCCCTGGCCAGGTGCTGGTAGACCGGTGTAGCCGCGTCCATCTCATCCTCCTCGACACTCGAGTAGGCCTCGTGCACGTGGGTGGACCAGCCCTGCTCGTCGGCGCCTTCGCAGAGAGCGCTCGCATCTCTTTAGCCCCCGACCGGCTCGCCACGATGCCGAACCCCAAATGACTCGCATCCGCCATGAAGATCCAGTCGTGCCACTCGGAGCCCATGTGCGTACCATAGTACACCGACAGCGAGACCATGACGAAGAACTCGTCTAAAACCTCGCGCCAGAGAAGGGCCTCCCGCTCGCCGCGACGCTCCTGGATCTACCGGTGCATGCGACGAGGGATACTCATGGCCCCCCTCGCGAAGGTGAAGATCCATGCCCAGAGCCCCATGAGCGACTCCACGGCCCTCTCCTGGTTCAGCAGCGCCTCCGTCGCAAGCGCCGCCGAGCGTACCATCTCCTCCACCGCCTGCACTACCTTCGCGCGGGCATCCAGCGAGACCCCCAGGGGGCGCTCCAGCCCGCGCCCCGCCCCTTCCATGTGGGCGGCCAGTCCGACGGCCTCTAGCGCCTGCTTCGCCCTGGCGCCGCCCTGCGTCACACGCAGCTCCGCCCCCCATCGACCCCCCCCCGACTCGTGGCGGAACTCTGCGCAATCGTCGATGAAGATCCAGTGGAGCAGCGACCCCCGATAGAACTGCGGAGGCGGCGACCCGCGCAGGACTCGACCCGTCGCGGGAAAGCCGCCACCGCTCTCCATGACGAGCCGGAGCGTCGAATGCACTAAGAAGACGGCGAAGGCGAAACCCACGGGCAGCACCCGCAAGCACGCGCGTGCCCGGCCACCCAGGCGCTCGGCGAGACCCTGCCCCCCCCGACCTCCCCAAGTGCAAACGCGGCCCCTCCCCTGCGACGCCGTCGAACCCGAAGCGCGGCCAAAGAGCCTCCGGCAAGAGCGGCTTGTAGAAGAAGTCGGGCGCGCCCCCGACGAAGCTCGCCACCCCCATGTCGCCGCGCGCGCTCGAACCGAGGTCGACCCTGCGCAGCGCTGCGGCCGAGCCCGCGGCGAGCCGCGGAGGGCTCCTCAACCACATGTTGGACCTCATCGCGCGCCAGATCAGCCGTGAGCTGCGCGCCCCCGCCACCTCGTCGATCTTCTTCAGGAGAGCCCCAGGCGTGCCCGACTCCGCCAGCCCCACCAGCAGATCGAGCTTCACCTGCCTCTGCCTCTGCCCTGGATCGCTGCGCGGCTTCACCGCGTCGCGCGCCGTTCCCCGCGGGCCCCGCGCGCCCGGCTCGACGGCGACGCAACCTCGATCGCAGGGGGCTCCGACCCAGCCGGGGGCAACGGCACCTCGCTGACCTTCAGAAGGCACATATCGCCACGGTGGGGCCCCAGGGCCCCGCCGCCCATCTCCTTCGCCCGAAGCCATCCGACGGCGTGCGACGCCAGCTGCCTGAGCACAGGCGCTCCGTCGGCAAGACCCCCCCACGTTGCTCGAGCCCGCTGGCGACTCCAAAGACCCCGAACCACCTCCATCTGCGCGGCCGAGGCCCCCCTCCACGCTGCCCGAGCCCCCCTCGGCGACTCGCTCCGCATCCCGCCCAGCATGCCGCGGTACATGCGCGAGATAGCCTTCACGGACCGGTTGGAACGCGTCAGAGTCAGTCGATCCAACGCAGCGGTCTCCGCCCCCTCGAGGCCCCCCCCCAACGCAGAAAGGCGCCCTGGGCACTCTGCGCAGAGGGTATCGGGCCCGAGCCTCCGCGCCAGCAAGCCTCCGCGATGGCCCCAAGGGCATCTCGAAGCTTGCGCCCCCGACGACAAGGACCCAATCCTTCAGCTGGTCGAATAAGTCGGCGGCGCACACGGCCACGGCCGAAGCGCCAAAACCAGCCCTCGAAGAACGCGATCACGCGCGCAATCTGCACCAAGTACCAGAAGAGCGCGAGACAAAAGCGACGACCGCCTGCACTTGCCTGCACCCCTCCCGCCGCTGGAGAGGCAGGCTGCCCCTGCTCGGAACTGTCCTTGCCGCCCTCGGGGAAAGCCTTGTCCAGGTACTTATTGAACAAAGCCCTCCGCTCCGAGCGCTTGCGCACCTCCTTGTCAGCGTCGGCGATGGCCCAGTCATCATTCTCGAGGGCCACCGCGTCGCACTCGTCCGCCAGCCCCCACCGCGGCTTGCTCTTCCACCTCTTCCCGTTCTCCCCGCGCGACTGCTTCCAGTCACTCTGCTTCCCCGCGTCCTCGAGCGCTCGGAGAAGGCCGTAGAGGCGGCGGCTGATCACCTCCACGGCCCGGCTGTTCACCACGTCCTGCTCGGTGCGCAACATCGCGCCCAGGATCGCGGCAACGAGAGCCATCTCACTCGCCGCGCAACACGTCTCCAGCTCCTTCGACCCCTCGTACTGCTGCACTTGGAACTTCGCTGGCGCCCCATGCTTGCACATCCGAGCCAATGCCATCGGAGCGATCCGAGCCTGCGAGGGTCCGATGCTCCAGTCTGCGTTCTCGTACTGCTTGAGCTGGGTCAACATAGTTGCCCTCGGATCCTTGGCCTCCTGCTCGAGCTCTTGGATGTAGTGCTCCACCGGTTTCCCGCTCAACCCCGTCGCAGCAAGGCCCGTCACCGCGCGCCCTCCAAGGCTGATGGAGGGCCGCCGAGCTCCACGCTCGGCACTTCCCCCACCGCCTCGGTCCTCCGAGACCTGCCGCTCGTGGGCCACGACCCGCCCCATCAGCTTGTCGATCCCCTTGCGCACTGATTCGTCCTCCTGAGCAGCAGTCAGTCCTGTAACTTCGTCACCCGCGTGCGTGCCCCTGTCCTTCTCGGCGGCCGGCCTGCTCAACTGGCTATGAAGCTCTGGCTGCTGCTCCAGGAGGAGCCTCATCCCCGGGTGAACACGAGAGCGTCGCAATCATCCGTGTCCGAAGCGGGCGTCCCCTCGTCAACCGAGATGTCACTGCCCCTGCCCGTCACGAACCCATCCACCGTGATCGCAGTACGCTTCATGCCGCAGCCACTGAACGAATATACCACCAGCAGCACGAACGCGACAGCAAGCGCCGCGAGCAATGGTCCCTCATAGCTCCCCTCCTCCCAGCGTTCCACCACGTGATCTTACGCGCCCGTGATCCGAATGGCTGTCTCGCTCGCCGACGTCTGGACATTCATAGAGTCGCCGATCATCTCACCAACGCCGAAGAATCTTGTAAGCCAACAAGAGCCGCCGGCCAGCCGTCCCCACGCAGTTGTAGCTGCACACCGCGCCTCCGAAGGTGAACAAGCTCAGCATCAGCCACCACACGAGGCGGGACTTCTGCGACTTGCCCCACTTGCCGACCGTTTTGCTCGGTTTCTTGTCCTTGCCTCCAGCAGGGGCCGAGAACCAGGAGTCCCCCGAGATCCTGCGGATCAGGTTCACCGACTCGGCCTCTGCCTTCATTTTTCCTCGCGACTCAGACCATCGAGTGGACCCAATTGCCACTTCGACTTCTGCTTCGCGAAGACGCGACCACTGCGCAAGTCCTGAACCTGCACGCGCTTCAGCCCATCCACAACCGTCCAGGTCCCGACCTTGCCAAACACCTGGTGCACGAGCATCAGGACCACGGCCGAGTCGTCCCCAGTCTGAAGGTAGGCTCGGTTCTACTTCTTCCAGACCATCGCGCCTGACTCTATGTCCAAGCCCAAGAAGAGATCCTCTCCGAAATGACCACCGTCGTCTCCAGGAAGGTCCTCAAGAAGAAGATCTTGCGTATCCTCCGACCAGATATCGTCCTCGCCGTCACCCTCCGCATCGCCCTCGTCGGCCCAGGGCGGGCGCTCGTTGAAGACCAGATAGAATAGCGAGGCCAGCAGGCACCAACGTGACGCCGTGGCGCGAGTCCCCTCTTCCTCGCCCGAAGGCTGAGGATGCTCAAAGAAAGAAGGGGCGTTTTCCTGCTGAGCTTGAGCCAGAACGATTATGGAACAGACGGCCAGGAGCACGAGGCCAAAGGAGAGATAAAGACTGTTAACACTCGAATATTACAGTATCCCCTTTGGGGGGCCGCCAAGACTCCCGCCCTGTGAGCTCAGTATGTGTCTTGCCAACCGTGTCCCCTATCGAGGTAGGCAGTCGGTTTCCAAAAGCACAGGCAGCTGGCACTCGATAGCCGGGGATGTGTTTGCCGATCGCAATGGTTTCAGGAAGTAGTCTCTATGGGAATCATTGCCTCCTCGCTGCGACACAAAGGCCCGAGATAACTCGCTGAGCAAGACGGCCGCGCCATGGATTAGCATGTGGCTGTCTAACATGGAGCTCCTCAAGAGAGCGATCATGTTTACGCAAGCTAGTCCTGCATCACACAACCCATAGACCGATGCAGAGGCGTCTGTTGTGAGAACCGGATGCAGAGTAGCGCTGCCAAGACTCATGCCTGAATGATCTGCAATGCCAAGGGAATGAACTCGTGGTATTCGACATGGCCGTCGGCGTTCATGTCAGCCTCGGCGAGGAACAGGTAGATCTGATCCTGGAAACGCTCCGAATTTCGGAAAGGGGGGCCCTACGATGCGAGGGCGCGAGCCGCGGACACAGGCAGGCCATCCTCCGTTTCTTCCTCCAGATGCATGCTCTGGATGCCTGTCCGGCAGAGGGCCCTTCAGAATCAGCGTTGCCTTGTGCACCAACCTCTGACGCCGCTTCGAGCCCCGCTGTCTTCGGCCTGGCACGCGCCCGCACACGCTCGGCTCTCGTGGTCGACGCCCTCCCCCCAGGCTGGGGAAGGGAGGGAGGAGGAACAGCAGCTGCAGCAGGGAAGGCACAGGAGGAGCAACAGCATGGAGAAGGAAAGCGAGGACGAGGAGGGAAGAGGAAGGGAGGACGAACGAATCGAATCGAGCTCAGGGGGCATTAAGTCAGATCGTCCACTCGTGAGAAGCCTGGGCCACTCCTGGTCTCTTCGTTCCAATGTATAACAACGAGCTGCTTGCTACGACGCTCTGAGGACCCACCAAGGAACGTTGCAATCCTGCAGTGCGGGCAGGAAGATACTGCTCCGGCGATCTGTGGCACTGTCGTTTGCTGATCGGGCTAAGAGGCCACCTCGCACTCTCATGATTTTCTGGGGAAGTCCCAATCCAAAAAAAATGTTGAATGGCAGCCCAGCCTCAAGAGAAGACAGAAAGCAGGGCCGCGAGGTCCAGAAGCCCACGGGGGCAGAGAAGCGCACAAAGGAACAAAGCCGGGGCAAACGAGCAAACGCTTGAGAGTGGGCGATGTATGGAAGCTGAAAAAGATTCAAGAGTCGGGAGGGAGGAGGAACGAGGGACAAGGGACGAATAAGGCCTCCAGGCAGCCGGGCCAACCGAAGTCGGCCAATGTGCGGCTAGCGCCGCCTCATCCGCCACGCTCTGCCTGGCATGGTCCTGCTGTTCGCGCCGATGCTTCTGCTTGTCTGCCCCCCCCCCTCCTCGCCCAGAAGCCGAGAGAGAGAAAGGCGGGCGGGTGAAGGGGAAGGGGAGGGAGAGAGGTAGGGGACTGGGGGGGGGAGGTTGCGGGCTCGGCAAACGGCAAACGATGCAAATAAGCACGTCGCTGCGGGAATATGGTATCATCACGGCTTGCCTTTGAAATGGTCTGCGTGGTTGCGAAGACGGACGCCATACATTTGGAGGTTCTGCAATCATAGAAACGTGGGCGCGGGGGGGGTCCGCCTCCTATAGGCACTGTGACCGCCCATCTTGGCGAGCCAGAAGACATTCCTAGCCAGCTTCCCGGAAGGAGCCCTCTTGAGCCAGCATGGGCGCAAAAGGGTGAAGGATAATAAGAAAACATTGGGGCTAGCGGATCTATGGAAAGTATGATACATAAGAACAGACTTAGTATTAAAAGCTGCCTTCCAAAAACAATGCGGATAACGACAGCTCGTGACCAGCTAGGAGGCGCCACAAAGCCTGCACGAACAACGAAAATTGTGCAACAGTGTTGCTGCGTGTCTCAGTGCGGCTGCAGGTTCAAAGCCATATCCAGTGGCAAGTTGGTTGGATCGCAAGATTGTTTCCAAATCGTTTTCAACATCCCCCCCAACATCTCCATAACTTCCACCAGCCCCGCGTCGCCCGCGAACGCCCACAACGTGGTGTTCCCGACAATTTTCCCGAATTGTATTACCATTGTGTCCTCGAACGTCGGCCTGGGCTCCAACGCCAAGTGCTCCCCGTGGACATCATTGGTTATACATGTGAGCTTTTGGTTGATGTGACGCACGAAGGGGCGCCTCGAAACTCCTCGCGCTGTCGGCGTCAATTGTCATGCTGACTGGTTAATCGCTCTGGTCGCACGCCTACGATGCGCGACCAGCGCTCGCCCCGGTCGCAGGCCTACGATGCGCGATCACAGGAGATGTGAGATTGTTTCCTCCAGGTGGTCAATATTCACTCAAACATGCCTGTCGCGCCTCCTCTGTAATTCTGGTCACGGTGATGCTCGGCTGATCAAATCGATAGTATCCAAGCCTGGGCCTGGTGGATGCGACGGTTTCGCTGCCGCCCTGGACCATGTGCGAAATCCGTTACCATTTCCTCATTCAGATAATTACCACGGGGGGTTTCACACTCCCGCGCGACACGCGCACATTTCTGCCCGCGCCTCGAAGCCTTCGGCCCCCGCCGCCGTCGGCGGCTGCCCAAGTCGACGCAGGTCACCTGGGGCGATTTCCTGCGCCAATCAATATTCGCCGCAGCGTCGAAGCTGCGTCCGCTGGCCAACAGCTTTCAGTTTGGAACGGCTCGGTTTCCCGACGTCGCGGTGGCCCGTCGCCCCCGCGACGCGCGCCAGCGCCTGTCCGCCGAAACCGCGCCGTCTCGTTGCCGGCATTTTTGGTCGGCGGGGCGAGAGCGAACCTCTTCCGGTTAAAAGCTGGGCGGGCTACGCGCAGCTCTAATTGGGGAGACAGAGCGCAGGCGGGCGGGGCCTCGGGCGGCTGGAGGGCGGGCCGGGGCGCAGGCGGTGCCGAGGAGCTCGCGCAGGAAAAGGAACGCCTTGGACAGGAGCCGGAGGCGAAGATCCGGAGGGTGGGCGGCGCGGCGCCGCCGTCAACGGCGCTTCGTAAACAACGCCCCCAAGTGCTGCGCGCGGCCGTGCGCGACCAGGTCAACGTCCAGGGGGGGGAAGTCCACCATGAAGGCGATGGGCAACTTTGCGCCACCGGATGGTGAGGAGGGGCCCAGAAGAGGAGAACCACAAAGGCGATGTGCAGCGTTGTGCCACCGGGTGGCCGGAAGCAGCCTGGGGCGGTAGTCCAATCCACGTCCAAGGAGCAGCCAGCAAGAGGTGCGGCCAGTGACAGGGCCGCCCGCGCCCGACTGGATGTCGGTGGAGTGCAGGGAGGAACCCTGTCAGCGCGCAGCGCCAGGGCAAGCGGGGCCGCCGAGGCGGACAGGTGCAGCGCCCAGCACTGGGCCGAAGCTGCGCTGCACCAGGCGCTGCCGCCATGGGAGGGGGGGGGGGGGGGGCGAGCGGGGGGGGGCGATGCGAACAGGGAGGAGAAAGGCCGGCAGGCCGCGCCAGCCGAAGTCGCGTCAGCCTGCACCGCGGGCGCCCACGTGGGGGACAAGCCCCTATGGGCACAGGTGGGACACAAGATCCCATTCCAGGTAAAGACAGGGCGCGCCACGCCAGTCGTCGATGCCCCAGTGCATCGCAGATGGGCACAGGTGGGACACAAGGTCCCAGATCCTTGAATACGGGAGAGGGGGAGAGGAGGAGCAGGAAAAGACGGGGTCCAGGTGGAAAAGGCACGTGGCCGTAGCCCGTGGAACGCGGGCGCCGCTGGGGCAGCGCGGCGCAGGCGGGGGGGGGGACGGGGGCAAAGGGGGGCAGGTTGGGGGGGGGGCACAGGTGGTGGGAGTGTGGGGACGGCTGCGCCGCGCGAGGGCGTCAGGTCGGCGGTTGGGCAGCGCCGCGGGCGCTTTCCATTCCAGGTGTCGTGGCACCCGGAGCTGCGAGCCTGGTCCTCTTCGCGCCCGTCGCCCTGGCCCGCTCCTCGCGCCTCGCCGCAGGGGGGCGCATGGCGCCCCCTGCCCGCGCCTTCTCTGCGGCTCGGGAACCGCCGCTGCAACTGGACCCAGTTGACGCCGAAGTTCAACACATCACTCACGGCCCTCACGTCGGAGTTGTGGTTGCGAAAGGAGCGCAGGAAACTGGCGCCGGTTTGCTGGTCGTGTCGTCGTGGGTCGAGTGCGCCCTTGCCGGGCTGCCTGGCGAACGCGTGCCGGGCGCCCGTGAACATCGCACCCAGGGTGGCTTGGAGCCGCTTTATATCGTCTCGCCAGGGGTCCCCCCGGGGAGACCCCACTGGATGCAGCTGTTCTTCGTTATCTACAACTGGTGCCCCGTGTCGGGGTCCAAGGGTTCGGGCCCTTGGCGCGCGGCGGGCCTCGCTTCCCGTGGCGGGGTAGTCGGCGGGGAGTCCTTGGAGCGGCGGCTGCTGATGCTGCTGCTGCTTCTGCCTCTGCTGCCGCTGCTGCCGCTGCGTCCGCCGCTTGTCGTGCGCCGCGCGCCGGGCCCGCCAGCGGCGTCGGCGTCGCCAGGGGCCGGGCCCCGACTCGGGGGCGGAGGGGAAACAGGGGGGCCGCCAGTTGCCAGGGCAAGGCCGGGCCTCCACCCGTTGCCAGGCGAACGCTTTGGAGAACCGCTGCGGCCTGGTCGTCGCCGTTCATCGGTGCTCGAGCCCGCGCCGCTGCCAGGGGGGAAGGGGCCAAGGTGCTGGGGCCGGCCATGGGAGAGCGGCAGTGGGCGGTTGCCAGCTCGCGCCCCCGCCCCGATTCCAGCGTCGGCGCTGCTTCCGCGCCCTCCCCGCGGGCGGCGGCACATCCTTATCGCGTGGCTCGTCAGGGTCCTGCTCATCATGCTGCTCTCGCTTGCTACCCTGCGCCAGCCCCGCCTGGCTGGGCCCACCGCCAGAGTCGCCCATGGCTTCGCGCGGCACGGCGGCTGCTCGGCCGGGAACGCCTGGCGAGGCCACGCGCGTCGGGGCGGGCCGCGCGGTCGGCCTACAGGCAGTGGCCAGATCGCCTCCGGCGGCTGGGGCAGAGAGGAGCGCCGCCCTGCGGCGCGCGGGGGCAGGCCCCTCTCGATGGCGTTCGCCGACGGACCTGCGCCTGCACTCGCTCGCGGGCGCGCCCCCATCAGTAAACGCAGGGCGATAGCCCGATGTGGGGATGCTGCGGGTAGCCCCGGCCGCAGGCGCGTTGCCGGGCACCGATCCTCACAGGGCGCCCGTCGCCGCCCCCGACGAGGCCCCGGCTTCGGAGAGGGGCTGCGGCTCGCTATCCGCTCGGGCAGCCGCGCAGCCAGGGGAGGGAGGGCGAATGGGCGCGAAAGGGTTTCTGTCGACAACCTGGCGGATGGCCTCGTTGTCCTGCCCCTGCAAGGCTGGTCCGTTGTTCGTACCCGGCCCAGCTTCTCTAGAAGGGGTCTGCTGGCTCGGGCACTGGGATGCGGCGGCAGACGGCCGTGCACCTGCTTGCG